AATTTTATATAGTATATTTTATATAATATATAATATATTTTCTGCCCATACAGAAAATATCACGGATCACACGAGCCACGGCCTTGGATTTGTATCAACGTGCTTGTGTTTCATAAATCACAGTGACCTTCCAGCCCTATACTTGAATGAGCTCAATACTGACTCAGAAGAATGTCACCTAATGAATCACTAATGTGACTTCCACATGTATGTAGGGTTTTTTTTTCCCCTTTTATCTGGAGGTCTTCTGCAAAGCAAAAAGTCAGGTTTGCATAGCTCACTTTCCTCAACCAAGCTTCACCTTTGTCTTGGCAGCTCAGAGCTGGGTGATGGGGAGGGTACTGAACCCACATCCCCAGCTTCCTGGGTAAGTATTTTAACCTTACACATAACCCCATACACGTTATAGGTGAATAGCATTATCACTATCCCTTCTGTTTTTTGAGTTTTACAGGAAAGTGTCCAGAACCGTGACTGAGCCTGTCAGTCCCTCACAAGCTGAGATTCCCTGCTTGGTGTGGCCCTGCAGGAGACATACAGGCCTCTTTCACCAACTGCCTGAATTCCAGCCCAGGGTGGCCTGCACCTTGGCGCGACATTGCTCAGAATGGTGCAGTTAATAAGCAGAAACGCAAGTGCTTAGGCAATAGTAAGATTACACTGGAAGCAGTGTAAGGCAGCAGCTAAGCATTAAGTTTTTAAAACAATAATCTTCAACGTAGGTATCTCAGTTTTGTTTCCCTTCTCTATCGGTCATATGTTTATTTCTAGGTACTGATACAACCGAGAGGGAACGGAGGCGCAGGGAGGACAGTATGTTCCTGATGAAGCAGCGGTGGAGTTGAACAACCAGGGCACCTTCCACAAAATTAGGATCTCTTTTATTCTCTTGATGAATATTTGCCTCGGTTTACACGGAAAGGAGCCTGCCCCATCCTTCCGTGTGCCCGTCGCCCTCCTTCACCTCTTAACCGATCTGAACAAAAGCGGAGGTGCGGCGCACGCCT